AAAATGATTGCTGGTAATTCTGGTATTAAAACCTATTTTTACACTTTCATAATGTTTCGGCCCCATTTTGGGGGTTAACTATTTACCCATAGCTGGGACCCTGACAGGTGTTACAACCTTGGGTCAGGGTGGACCTGGGAACACCAGCAATTAAGAAGTGGTTCTACGCTCCTCAAAACCTCCTGATCAGAGGCCTTGCCGTTGAACGTAGTTTATCGTCTTAAGCAGGACGGTCCTTCTTGGAAAACGCTGCTAACTTTTATTCCACATATATAGTAGGTGACTTCCGTCAATTTCAAGAGATTATGGAATATCCTTTCACGGCTAGATAATCCCTGTTGTAGGTGCCTGTTCAGGCACATTTACATTTCAATAAACACTGCCAACCTTTCATTTATACTGCAGCTATGTTTCTGCGACAGAGCGAATAATCTAGCGAGATCATTTCTTTTTTTAAATGTCAAGATTCTCAAGGCCCTCATGACGTACGTAATAACACAACCATCAATAGATTTTCAGCCATTCACTTAAGATCAATTTTCAAAGCTGCCGCCCGCTGGGATCGCCTGCTCAGGCCGATAACATCAGGAAAATTAAAACCCCGACAAATCGACCATGAGATTTGAACCCAGATTTCATGGTCAGAAAACCGTGCTAACCACTCGACCACGCTCCCACATGGATTATTAAGTAATGTCTGTAAACAGTGTAAAATTGCTATTCCTATTAAAGATATTCAGTTGCACAACTTGCACGAATCCACGTGACTCTCTGTTGCCATCTAATTCTATTGTTCATAATATTCGTCAGGTCAGACGTTATTGCAGTTTATGCCGTTGCAAATCTGCTTGGCTTATCGTGTTAGTGAACTTCTGTCGACACGAGGAAGAGCTAACATATTTCGTCTTTAGCTCTCCAATTACATTTCTGCTAATCTGATCTTTCATGATGTCTAATACTGGACGAAGGTACAATTGCTCATTGGTCAGACGATCTTTCCAAGTGACATTCAAAGACATTCGCAACTGGTGAATGTCGGCTCAATCCAACCTTCTTTCCAGTTTTGAACTAAAAGGTTAATGCTGAGCAGCCATAGAAAGGAGGTAACACTTGCTTGACAGAGGCTCCTTTTCAAGTTTTCTGAAAGTCCAGGCCAGGTCAAAATAGAGTTGACGACATCCCAGGCTTTATCAATGTGTGTGTGTTGACATCACTTTCGCAGATAGATATTTTACTACCTAGAGAAGTAAATTCTTCTAAACACTTGTGAGGTATGCCAGATACTCTTTTAATTGTTCCATTCCAATTTAAACTTATGTATTCTGTTTTGTCAGAGTTAACATGGAGACCGATACCTTCGGCTTTATGTTCAAGAATATGGAGAGAGAGAAAATCTGTTCAGTTCACTTCTTGGTCAAATTTACTTTTCAGTTAAAGGGAAACAAAGAAGCAACCAACAACGTTTCAGCTTTGCGACAATTCAGTGAAAATATTTTGTTATTTTCTTTTTTGCTGCTTCGTTTAACTTCTTCCAGGTAACAAAAGAAAATTTTAATATTTATGTTTTGTACTATATATATATATATATATATATATATATAATTTTTTAAAAATATGATTCCTTCGCTACATAAGAGTTCTCATGTTTCAAAAACAAGAGCCAAAATCTTCAATATAATTATTAAAAATAAATTGAATTAAAGTATCAAGCTCTGTTTCATAGGGAAATTTTTGGAATAACTAATCTTGAAATTTACGCATCTTTATAAGTATTTCATTCGTAAAATTAATTACTATGGAAACGGCTGAAGCATTTATTTCAATAAGGGGCGTAAGAGTTAACAATTTGTATGAACATATTAGTTACTATATATATAAATGTATTGGAGCAAAAAAAAAAAAAAGACGTTTTTTACCTAATTTGATGGTGCTGATTCCGAAAATGACCTTAGCGTTTTATGGTTAGTGACCATTTTTGCTGCACTTAAATTGCTCATTTTTTGCAGAAAGATCAATTTACGATCTTGGCTGATCGCAAAATTTAGTTAATAAAGGTCGTAGAAACCCATCAATTTTCAGGTAGGCCGAGCAATTTATGTCAGCCACTTGAAATAAATTATTCTTATAAGAAAAAAGTGTTTTTCAGTCAAAAATTTTAAAATAGAAGTACCGATTTTTCCCAATTTATTGCCAAAATTCAAATTAATTGATAAACTTTATCATTAATACTCTTTAGTAAACCTAATAATTCAGGTGACATCAAAAAAATGAAACCCTAAAATCTTCTGTTTAATGTTCATAAATTTATCCCATCACTTTTATCCCTTTCACGGAAGGAAACCAAGCACATTGAGAGCATTTTGTTTTGGAAAGAAACTGTAACTAAAGACATCCCAACTGAATGCACCTATTCGTTTGTACATGATACTGCTGGAATATCAAAAGGGATTTAAATAACATTGAACATGAGAGACAATCAAGAACGAGAAAATTTTTACCATAGTTCTTATGTTCACGAAAATTTTATTTCTGCTGTTAGTTTATTAATTGATTTGATGAAAATATTTGTTGATCTTGGTATGTTCAATTGCGTTATTTTCAAAGATTTAGGGTTTGATTGTTATTGCAAAAATATTTCTTAATAAACAGACCAAAATATTTGTTGGTTTAAATACGAATTGCGAGGTTTCTATGATTTTGAGAAATATTGCCATCTGTCAATATTATACAGAAAACAAATGAAAAAAAATGCTTTTTTTTTTTTAAAAAAAAAAAAAAAAAAAAAACAGTAATTAACCAAGAAAAAGTAAGGTCATTTTCAGATTCAGCGCCTTCAAATTAGTTAAAAAAAAGAAAAGACGTTTGGTGTCTCGACACCATTTCAATTATTTTTATTTTTTTATTTTTTTGACTAGTGTTATTCAAACATATATTGTTGAATATAACAGACAACAAATGTCTATTATATTTTATCAGGAGCCGTTCTAAACTCCGTATATTTGCTTTAATTTAGGGGGAAAATAAAGACAAAAAATGTCCAACATTTGGAGATATTTTTATTATGCTGTTCCTCTATCTAAGCTTTAGGCTCACATGCGCCATCTTCAGAGTAGTTATACGGACAGTTAAACAAAGATATTCTCCATCAAAGATGATATTCTGTTGTTTGCATAAAAGTTTGCTGTATGACGATAACGATCAAAGAATAGTAGAAGCAGGTCGTAAATTCGTTATGCGGTTTTATGATGTCGTACCACGTGAGAGAACGAAATATTAACAACAGAACCATATGTTTAGATGCAATATAATATATGTGTGTGTGTGTGTGTGTGTGTGTATGTTCAATTCATAATGTGTGACGTCATTTGTTTACATTTGGATGCATTTGAGCAGATATGAATGTACACGAGAGATTCATGGAAGATTGAAGTTTAAAGACAGTAAATTCGACCTTGTTAACCGACCGCTCCTCTGTAGCCAAATAGGTTAAGACACATCAAGCTAAATGACGGTTCCGTATAGGATACAGGTTCGAATCCTGTCGGAGGACGAATATTTTCTGTGAAAATTTCTCGAACATTCAGACCGGTAAATGTTGTTTAATACTGTTTATTATAAACAGAGCATTTACTTAAATATTTGTATCTATAAAAAGAAAAACATTACATACATACATACTGATAATTACTTTCCATTTATTGAATTTATAATTATTATAATTATTTGCAAATGCTAAGTTTAGTCGTCATGATTAAAGTATCGTCACTGGTATGCCACGACAACTGACACAAATCATATAAGAATTAATGAATGCAGGAATTATCTCTTTGGGACAATTTTTTTTTCTTTTGGTAATTTAAGTTTTAAAATTTGATTCTATTACCACAATGGAGAATTACCTTACTGCCCAAAGTATTGTGCTTATAAGAACTAGAGATTTTTCTGCTTAATTTTAAACAAGCACAATTATATCGTTATGATAAAAATTAATTTTCATAATTTATGACATGTAATGCGAAATGGTATATAGATTTGTCGTTGATATTTTGATGCAAGATGTTTGAGTGGTAGGATAATCGGTTCTTTTTTTTTTTCTATCAAGAACTTCGACAAGATAAAAATACTCCAAAGTATCTGGATCTTGTAAATGACCATAGACGTGCGTACGTGGGTGTATGTGAATCTAAAGCTAAGCGAAGATGACGAGAAAAAAAGCAAATATGAGAAAAAGACGAAAAAGGAGGATCGGGTGTTGGAAAAGAAAAAAATTTTTTTTTAAATTCTGGGTTAAAATTTAGCAAATTTATATTTCCTATGTTATTTATACTGGCGATATCAGAAAATAGACCGAATATAGAAGAAAATATATTTAAAAGACTGTAAAGATAGGGGCATAAAATGACGCCCCCATAAGTGACATTAAATTATGTCTCTTAAAGAAAACGGAAAATTTTTTATAAGGAAAATAACCTGATTCTTGAAAAGCAAATTTTCATTCTATTCTTCTAGAAGCTAATTAATTATCAAAGACATCAAAACTGATTTTCATACTGAAGAATTGGAACGAATATAAATGAATTGTTGGCGATTTAAAAAAAAAAGAAAAAAAAGAAGAAAAATGTTATTCTAATTAGTTATGCAACATTTATTGTATATAAATATCCGAGGCTAATTAATTTTGGTCTCGTAATTAATATATGGAATGAAACAGAAATTAAATCATGTATCAGCAAACATGGAAGTCTGGTTAAATGTGACGAGCAGTAGTACATTTCTGGGTGGTTGATTTGAGCTTTAAAACAAGTTTTTTTTTTCTGTGACTTTCATCATGGCGGAAATGATTACAATTCATATTTTGTATTGTACCTTCTAATTAGGAGAGTCTTTAAAATTATCTACAAATGTTAGGAAATTCGTAACTGGCTTGTTATGGATGATAATTCCTAGGATCGAGAATGAGTGAGAAAAGATGAAATGAAAGGAAAAATAAACATTGTGTTTCAGAGGAAGATGAAACGGGAGGGAGAGAAAAAAAGAAAGAAAGAGAAAAAAAAGAAAGAAAGAGAAAAAAAGAAAGGAAGAGAAAAAAAGAAAGAAAGAGAAAAAAAGAAAGAAAGAGAAAAAAAGAAAGAAAGAGAAAAAAAGAAAGAAAGAGAAAAAAAAGAAAAGAAAAAGAAAGCGAAAAAAAGATTGTCGGTCTGAATAAATGTTAAAACAAGCGGCATGGTTACTAATTAAAGGGAGGCAAAAGGATTTGCCAAAATGATCAGTCAAGACTGAAGTAATAAATGCAGAAAAAAAGATGCTCAACCACAGTCATCAAGGTGATCCCAAAGCAATTTTCCATGATGTAAGAGTGAGTTCACAATCTAAACCAAATTAAATACTAACCCCAAATTCATAATATTGCTTAACAATGCTTCATAAAAAATAAAAACAAAAAAAATATTAATCTCAAAATTTGGAAGAAGGAACCACTTTAGAGATTCAAAAGATCAAAAAAGCAACAAAATGAATCACATAGGAAGGTTGGCATCAAAAGCAACAAAATGAATCACTTAAGAAGGTTGGCATCAAAAGCAACAAAATGAATCACATAGGAAGGTTGGCATCAAAAGCAACAAAATGAATCACTTAAGAAGGTTGGCATCAAAAGCAACAAAAGTTAAGTTCCTGGTTAAGTATGAGTTTCCGGTTTCCATTTTCTTTAAAACCTCGTCTTTGCTCACATGTTTGATCCATGGTATCCTCAAGTATCTTTCTATCGAATTAAGTTTCTGTTGTTTCGAGTCTCTTCATCTGGGAGGACAATGTCCATCAATCGCTGCCATACAGGAGGACAGATATCACGTAACAGTTTTGTAAATTGGTTGGTAATAATAAAACCGGTACCTTCTCTCTTCTGAGGATTGACGCACGGAATTTATTTCAAATCCGCGACTCACAAATTGCAACATTGCAATTTGCGACGCTAGACACGTTCCTCCCACTTTCTGGTGGCCTTATCTATTTATCTACCCCCAGGGCCCATATAGAGTTTTTTGGGTTTTTTTTTTTTTTACTTCCGGGCGCCCGAATCAAACCACGTATTCCACATTACGCTTAAAGTGTTTTCAGCATTCCAAAGGACGTGAGTTCGATCCAGGCAGGCAAGACACAACCGGGTTCTCTTTCTCTGCTGAACCAGTAAGTTATTCCCGCTACACTCCCCCGATGTCATTATCATCACAGAAACTGCATGGCAGACGTGGCCTCTTGTTGGGGACACTCCTCCGAACGGGGGAGGGGGGGCAGGCTCGGACTCTTCTTCAGAAGAGGCCTCGGCACTGTTTATCTCGGCAGTCAGGCTCTCGGATGACGCATCACTGTTGTCACTCGACAGCGGGGTTGTATCAAGGGCAGAACGGAAGTCCTTTACGTGGCGAAAGTTCCGTTGACAGTGACGGAGTAGAGGCTGATAATCCGGTGGCACGTCCAATCTTATAACTGGTTTCGTTTGGTTTGTTGTGTTTTACGGCATACCAACCTCAATGGGTTATTTAATGCCGACAACTTTTTTTTTTTTCTGGTAATATTTTGTTTTGTCAAAAATCTATTTCTGATATTTTTTTCCTCAAAAATGTATAGCTGGTAATATTTTCAAAAACGTATTGCTGGTAATATTTTTTTCAAAAAATATATTGCTGGTAATAGTTTTTTTCTTCAAAAATCTATTTTTGGTAATAATTTTTTACAAAGTATTTCTGGTATTAAAACCTATTTTTACACTTTTATAATACTTTTTACCTCAGTTTCGGAGTTAACTATTTGCCCATAGCTGGGACCCTAACAAGTGCTACCACCTCGGGTCAGAGTGGACCTGGGAACACCAGCAATTAAGAGATGGTTCCACGCTCCTCAAAACCTCCTGATCAGAGGCCTTGCTGCTGGATGTAGTTTAACGTCTTACCCAGGGCGCGGATGCAGTTTATCGTCATACCTTGGACGGCTTATAACTGGTGGTACACCGACTATTTGGTGGGATTTGACCCAGACAGAATCCACCACTTCATACGGTGCCCGAACTTCTTGGTCGGATGGATACGCGGAGTCAATCGCTTTTAGTCGGACTCGATGTATATGAATCATATTGGCTGGTGCCAACTGGGATGTCTCATTGTCCCTTGGTGCGGTATTGTGCTAGTACAGTGCCTTTATTATGAAACAACGTAACCTGGCCGCTATTCGTTTAACGCTTCGGTGGCTCATTAAAACTGTTGCTTGAGGGCACGTAATAACATCGGAAGTGTATTCGAATACCCCATTCTTTCTGGAACTTCTTGAATGATTTACTACTAAACTTGTTGACATTGTCCGTCAGTAATTCTGCCAGGGGCCATCGTTCACAAAACACTGCTCTTAACAGGTTCACCAACACTCTCTGTATCCTGCCACTGAAGGAATCGCCAGATTGTGAATCGAGTGGGGGTCACAGTCGATTATTGTCAAATAGTGCCTGCCACCATAAAGGGTGATGTCCATCTCCAGTCGCTGCCACACATCTTCCACCTTCTGTTTTCCTGTCGGGCCCCACACCGGGTGCAGGTCGATGGATTGACATTCCTTACATGTCTTGACCACCATTCTCACTTGCGTCTTTGTCACCCGCAAAGTACCAAGTCCTCTTGACACCGGGATGCTCCGTTCGCTGATGCACAGATTTGATCTGCTTGTACTCGCGCTCTTCCATGGGCGCAGCACTGGTGTTATTTCTTGGCCCGACTTCTCTCTTAAACATGTCGAACCACCTCTGCGGTACTAGAGTCAACCGGTCAGCGAGATCAAACTTTGATGCTATCAACGTTACGTCCATTGACAGGCCATAAGCGGTGATAAGCTTTTTGATGGTCTCCAATCTTCTTCTCATCAGCATCTCACTTGTTGCCTTGGTCCAAATCCTGACCTTCCCTGTTAAAGTGTCTGATATCCAAAGGTACACACATAGCGAGTCCGTCCGCAGATGCATCCTCTTGGCCAACCACTGAAGCGCCAGGTCGACACCGTTTAACACTGCGACCAACTTCGCCAAGTTAATGTGTGCTGCGTCGTCCACGGGACGGTAACCAACACGCATCCTCCAGTAGGGTTCCGACCTCTTCTAGCTAGACGCCGATCGCTAAAGAGCTCTCGTCGACCCATACGTTCACTTTCTCCGCACACAGTCTCCACGGGCGGGTTCGGACTGTCGCACTCTTGTCAGACTCTCCTTTACCATGCGCATAAGGAGGGTATCGGTTGCTTCATCGTCCCATCCTTGGGTAATCACCCTAGCTCTGCGCTTTATGATACCCGTTGCCGCGCGCAGCACCCCTGCATACAGCTAGGTGGCCCACAAGATTCCCACACAGAGAATCCACAGTTCACCACGTGATGACATCGGAAATGTAAGAAAATACACTTTCCAGTCTCCATAACAATCTATCTTGATCTTTCCATCCCTCCATGCCCAGGCTCTATTCTCGATCCGTGCCGGGCCCTTGCAGACCAAGCCAAATTGGGCCACCTTCGCCTGTACTCTCGTCGACGATGCGATATCCTCACTGATATAGATGTCATCTAGGTACGCCGAGGTGGCTTTTTCTGACACAGTACGATGCTTATGACGGTCTTCACCATTAGACCCTAATCTGCAGATAGGCTTAGCGAAAATCTAGAATTTGATCCCTGTTGAAGCTATGCTCGCAGCTTGCGGCCGTAAAAGCGTCGACATGCTGGTTACGCTCTCCTTAATCCAGCTCCGGCCGCAGCTTTTCCTTATTCTGCAGAAACACAGCCCTCAAAGGGATCAGATGTTTGCGTTCTCGGTATGGAATCAACCAGCCATCCTCTATTCAGGTATGAAGCTCCCACTCGTACGCATCGCTGATACGATCTGGCACACGGTATTCCGCCAGGCGACTCTGCAACTTTAGTGGTTTCAAGTCAAATCCCAGCGGCTTCTCGGACACTACCAGCGCATCCACTTCGATAGTTTCCGGCCTCTGTAATGATCCTAACCGTGCCAATGCCACAACACGCGCGAGTCTCGCCGTTTATTGTGGTCACCAAGACTCTGTTCCTCCTCCAGATGCTACACAATACTTTACTGACTATCGTCTGGGAAGAACCCGAGTCAAGGAGTGCCGAACGCAGGGATCCGTTGACATATACATAGCTGACAGGCAGTGTCTCCTCTAAATGTTTGAGAAAGAGATCGACACTGATGCCCGGCCTCGTTTTCTGAACAATCCCGAGCCATGTGTCCCTCTTTGTTGCGCCGGTTGCAACGCATGCGCGCTCCTCGACTCTTGCATTCTCTGACCTAGTGGCCTTGCAACTATAACAGGCCATCCTAGAGTTGGTGGTCCTAGTAGAAGACTGTGCGGCCGTGATGACCAGCTCTTCTGAAATAGATCTCTCCCTTATAATGGTTTCGGCGTGGTCCAACAACTGGCCCAGTGGCAACCTGTCTACTCACGAGTTTGCCCGTAACAACTCTTTAACACGCAGTGGGAGCCAAGCCAGGATCGCATACGCCATCGCTCTCTCGGGCAGTCATCCAAACAATCGCGCCAGCTTTTGTAATGTTGTCATGTAAACAGCTAATGTTTTTCTCGTGCGTAGCATCCGTACCGCGAACTGTTCATAGGTTTCTGAGAGAGAGAGAGAGAGACAGGGTAAACGCCTTGAAAAGTACGTTCTTTATTCTTGCCGGGTCCTCTCTTTTTCAGTCTCCTCCATCTGTTGGTAAACATCAAATGCACCTCCGGGGTCAGTGCAATGAAATGACGTATTCTACTCTCTTCAGCCCATTCGCAATTGGCAAATTAATTCCACTTTCTCAACCCATTGATACAACTGAGGTAGGAACCTCAAATTCTGGAATGAACTTCAAATCGAATTTACAGTCTGTCATCGTCCGTCAAATGCCAGAATAGCTTGTGTTTATACAAGCTATTTCGGCATTTGATTGATTATTGGTAACAATAACACCGATACTTTCTCTTTTCTGAGGATTGATGTAGGGAATCTGTATCAAATCTGCGACACACTACGTTAGACATCTTCCTTTTACTGTCTATTAGCCTTTCTATTTATCTATTCGGAGCCCACACAGCTTTTTCTACATCTGCGCACCTGAATCAAACCATGTGTCCCGCATCAGGCTTAAACCGTGTTTTCTGCATTCCGAAGGACGCGAGTTCGATCTAGGTAGGTAAGATTCTTTTCATTGTTTCTAACGAAATCTTTCTGTCCCTTTATACTTTGCTTAGCTTTTGGAAGGCATCTTTGGCCATTCCAATGCCTCTTCGGATTTCAGTGTCACACTTTCCGTCCTCTGTTAGAAAAATTCACAGATATTTACATTTTTGTACTTGTTTAATTTTTATGTTCCCGATTTGTAATTTGCATTTTGGGCTCATTCATTTGCTGATTGATGGAATTTTTTTGACTAAATTTAAAGAAATACGACCAGAAAATTCTATTCGACGCTATCGGATTTGAGAAAAACCAAAAAAGACGGAACAGAATTTCACAAGCGGGAAATGCGAGAGAGGAAGTTGGTTCACTGTGGTGTACCAGAACATTTTTTTTTATTTCCCATTCTTCCATGCATTGAATACTGTCGCCATAACTCCTCTTATGCTCCTGCTGTACATCTCGAGATTCTTGACAAAATTCAAAGAAGAATCTGTAATATAATCGATCCTGACCATTCATCTCGACTTCAGTCACTTTCTCACTAACGTGACGCCTTTTCTACAAATATTTTCATGGCAACTGTTCTGATAAGCTTTTGTCCCTGGTTCTCCGTCTACATGAATTTAAGCGTATTACTAGATTGGCAATTAGGTCTCACAGTTTTGCCGATGAACTAGCTCGATGCAACCACCACTTCTGTTTCTTTTCTCGCACTTTTCACATGTGAAACGCCTTTTCGATTTCTTTCTTCCCTGATAACTATATTCATCAAAAATGTAAATGCAACGTCAATCGCCATCTTCTATTTTTCTGAATCCTGTTCCTTTCTCTTCCCTGAAGACTTCTCATTCTCGCTCTGTAACCCGTGTTCTAGTGGCATTATCGCTTTGCTTGGGATGAAACGATTTTTAAGAAACCTATGGTCACTACTAGCAATTTCAAGAGTGAAATTATGACAGCTACCAGCCAACCCGATACTACGCTTAAATTCGATGAAAGTTTATCAGAATAATTACTTTGAAAATAAAGGAAGATATGTTATAGCGGTTCGAAAAGTGACTGAAGCCGAGATGCCAGGTCAGGACCGATAACATAGATTCTTCTTTGTCAAGAATCTCTAGAAACATAACGGAAGCATCAAATCAGATGTCGCAGCAATATTCAAGACACGGACGATTTATAAATATGCAAGAAAAATTCTGGCGAGAAAAAATTGTTTAGCGAGACAGTCAACCTTCATAGTAGCTGATTTAGCAAAATTGATACAATACAGACATTCTACTTTACGTCAGTGGAAAACGTAAGACGAAGAAAGCTGCTCTCCTGGAGGTTAGCATCAGCCATGCTAGTGGAAGGTGAAAAAAAAAAGGTTCTTTAAAAGATTCAGAGGTTTTAAAATTAACAAGCCACTTCTTGCCCCAATTAGCAACAGATTATACGTCGATTTTCGGGATCAGCTGCCAATTCGATTTTATCAAACCCATCAGACTTACCGTAGTAAATACTTGTATCATCCGCAGAGATAGCGAATCGGGAACTGATGACATCGGAATGGTTGTTGATGAAAATAAGAAGTGGGTCTTGAGGAGGAGGCGCCTACATTAATGAAAAAAGATCTACAAGAGTGGCCATTCAAGACAACTTTCATTTCATGATTTAATAAAAAATGAATCAAATCAAATATTTGTCCAGAAATGCCATAAGCTTTTAACTTGGGATAAAGACCAGCATACCAAATTTTGTGAAAATCTTTCAAAAATGTCTAAAGTAACAGTCCGAACTTTGCTATTCTTATATAAACCTTGACAAATTCTCTCAGCCAAACCTGTCAACAGACTGACAGCTGCGAATATATTAGGCTTTGCAATCTGAGATTTTTTACCAAGTCAGAGTTGATTCGAACCACTAGGAATTTGCCAAATAAACGTAGAAGATTAATTGGTGTCTAGTTCAAAGAAACAGAGTTCCTAAAAGCAAGAACTACAGAAGAGAGTGCCCAACAATTCCGAGAGGAGGAAACAAGAAACAAAAGGCCAAAGTTCAGGGAAACATTTCTTAAGGACAATTACAAGGATATCATCAAGTCCACATACTTTGAAGGGATCAAGTTTAGAGATGATAGCGGAAACCATGAACAGAATCCTATCCCGCATTAGAATCGCAGTTCTAAGAGCAAAAGTTAGGCAAACGGACTGGAAGAGAATTTGCGGGCAACGCATGCTGTTTTATCAACAGGGGATATTAATACTACTACAAATTGATTGAAAGGCTTAGCCTTATTTAATACACTCTTACAGAGCCGCCGGTAATCACGAAAACCAAACTTGTTAGTGGCTATACGATGCCTCACTATCAAGCGAACAACGACCTAGCCAACTTGAGGACACATTTACAGTTATTACGAACGAAAACAAAGTGATTTGGGTTTTACCAATTATCAACCTTTCGTAGTTTATTTAAAGCCAGAAAATATTTTTAGATTGCAAAACTGTTTAGGCGATAATAATGATTTACTGATACAAATCCTACTAATTAATCGATAGTTAAAGGAGGGGAAGTGGGTTCATGCCTTTCTCAAGGGTATTTGCAAGTGAACGTAACAAACTCGACTGGAACTGGAACACGGCTCTCAGATTTCCAATTCAAAACCGTTATCCAATGCATCACATGCACATTCATGCTTACAGCACCTTCTGTGATCATATAAGAAGGATTCAACGTGATATGGCCATAAGCCCGGACACAAAGAGGCGTCTGTTATCAGCAATATCACGTTGGTCTTGCCAGAAAAGGGATTAATGCGGGTGTGAATCGAAGAGAAGATTGTTGTTTTATTTGGTATTATCTGAGAAGTCACAAAACCTTCGATACCGGCTTTCAACCAACAAGAAACTTTATTGGTTCATTTTTCATTAGGAAGCTTGAAGATTTCACTTTAAAGAAAACCACGGTATAAATCCCAATTAGTAAAGTTCTTTTATGAATAGAAGAGGGGGTGAGGTTCATGCCTAACAGGCGTGTCACAGGATATATCAACAGTCACTGCTGCATCATGGGCCGAATTGCCAAGAGGACAGAGTTACAAAGCACGAAATGAAGCAGGAGAATTAGGTCAGGAAGAAACGAGTAAGGGAGTATGTTGGTCGGTGTCGTTAACAATTTCACAGAGAGAATGAGGAAAATTAAAAATTTGAAAACTGCTAACATCTGTAGTATTAAAATGGTGAAGCTACTTGATGTGTTGAACATTAAATTCGCCAAAACCACAAAGATGTTCGTAATTGTGAATGTGAACAGGAAGCCATTCCTATACTGCCAGACATTTTCTCTAATACGCTACAGTCGTGAGTAGAAGGGGAGTTCGATGAAGGAAAACATGGCGAATAACGAAGCGTAATAATGAGAACGGAAAGCACGTGAAAGAATCATCCGAGAATCCGGGAGATTATTTCAAGGTCATTAGAAGATTTTTTTCCGAATATTAATTCCAAAGCAATGTATGTACCCTTGAATCCTTTCGACATATCCTGAAACAGTTTTAAATTACTTTCATAAAAGCCACTACAGAAATTTGTATGAATAGCACGAATATTAAAGAAAGAAAGGCCGAATATTTTCGCTGTTGTTTTTTGTTTTTTTTTTTTGTTTTTTTTTTACAAACTGGATTAATTCTATTATTTTTAGTCGTTGTCGCCATAGGAAATTTGACGATGAAAAAGGCCAGAATACTTGTTACTGCCCAACGTCTAAGGCAACACAAGCTGACCGGGAGATAGCTATGACTACATCTTGGCTTCAGGGTTGACCATCAGAAGTGCTTGCAGGAACATTTAACCATGCGCGACATGGGTAAGGCAAAAACCCCTATAATATGCGACTGTTGACCAGAACAGCCTCTCTAAGCGGCTACCAAAGAGTTCGGACTCCTTGCTACCAGCTGGGATGCAACAAGCAGAAAACTGCCAAAACCAGGTACCGTCAAAATGGAGTGTGGCAGCCACCGATCATTCCCGTCACCAAAAATTTAAGGCTTCGGAAGATGGAATCTGAAACCATATCTTCAATCGGAAACAGAGGCTGAACGTCTATTCTTGTTGAGTAGAGGGTGGAAGGATTGTGAACCGGGTGGTAGGTAAACTTATTTGCTC